ATGCCAGCGTACGCTCTGTGACAGACATCTGTACGCTAGCGGAAGTCTAATGCTATTGGCTAACGCGGGGACGGGCTTAGCAAAAAATAATAAAAAATTGACATATTGCCTACATTATATCACTACAGGGTAAGTCACTTTTATGGTTTTCTAAAAAAAAAGTCACACGTGATTCCTGAAACTGCGAAAATTCTGAATTTGGATTGGAAGGACGTTCAAGTGAATACTAAATTCATGATAGAATTACAACTAGGGATGTAAGAAAATATCGATATGGCAATATATCGTGATATTTTTTCCAGTGATGTTACACTGATATTCAAAAGGCGTTGTATCTAATTTTTGGAAGAACTTACATGCAAACATCTGTGTATTTTCTTTTCTTTTGCTGCAATTCAAACGCCGACCGCTAGTTGGCATCAGTGAGCAATGAGTTTTGTTTCCACCATTGAAATGTAAATCCCTCTATTATGGTTCAGATACCTCATGTTAAACATGTTAAGCATCAGTTTGGACTGTTTATTGAATTTTCCTACAATAAATTCAGTCTAAAATGATTGCTAATTACGTCCGACTGAATGTATCGCAATAAATCGTGACACGTATCTTATCGCCAAAATTTGACCAATACACATCCCTAATCACAACGGTATTTATATGGTGGGTCGGGACTCTCTCTAAGACTCACTCACCAGGGGTTCTGGTCGTATCCGGGGTAGAGTACATGGCTTCCTACCGTCATCAAGAACCTCAAAGGTCATGAAGGCAGAGTTTATGTGTCGGTTTGGTCCCTCCTGCTGGTAGGCCTCTGCACGCACCCCCACCTCCATGCTGCAGAGAAACATCACATCAGTGTGCCTCTCCTTAACACACACTACAGTGATGGACACACTGAGACCTGTTTTTGAAGGCGTTGTTGACGATAGCTCTGAGAAGCAGCCTGTCCCCAACCTGAGAAGGTCCCCTGAAGGTAAACATGTCGATGGTCCGAAGAGTTGGATGAGCCTGACACAGACGACTGCACCGGGAGAAAAAAACGAGGTAAAGAAACGACTAAACAAGACACACTACCCTCTACTCCACCGCTGACAGGATTTTAAATTTGATCAACTAATTTACTATTAATTAATTTAATCAGTAGAAACCACAAGACTAAATTTAGTAAAACCAAAAGAAGATCAACGAATCCTCTAAGATAGGAGTTAGAACAGATGGTTCAGAATCACAACCGCTGACTCAGCAAACACACCACAAACTGAAGGGATCTGATGCCAACCTTCATTTAGGTCCAAACATAAGAAAAATAAAAACCTTCAGAGGTCTCATGGAGCTGAACAAGCCTAAATAATTGCACGTAAAAACCTGAGTATTAATGGTTTTACTGTTGGAGAGCGAACAGAATGATGAGAGAGAGGCTTTGTACCTGGCAGCGATAGTGGCTACGTTCACCATCCAGGCCATGATTTGTCCTCCAAATGTGTTGACCTGAGAAGACAAATGTAACAAAACACATGAGTGTGGCTGACGAAGAGTCAACACAAAACTGATTTAAATTATGTTACATGGCGACCCCTCTACTGCGACGTGTAGAAAACTTCTCAGGTGGGATCTGCTTCTCTTGCCAGTAACGCTGGAAACCATCAGGACCATCAAGATTACATTTCTCCCCACTAGCGAACCTTTTTATGTCTCGCGTTTGGTGTTCTCTAGTAAAGTCCAATCAGCTCTGTGGCGTTCAAGAACACAAGGTCTTTGAAGACATGTTTTGTTTTTTTAAGCCCTTCAGTCTCAGATGTGATGGCTTTGGGGCTACAGCCAGCACCAGTAACAGCCTGAAGTTGGATCGAAGACCGTCCATTGTCTGTACGGACAGCCAACAGGATCCTCCGGCTCGGTGCTGGCGAAAACGTTTTGATGATTTTCTTCCCTAACCCTCAGGGTCACTTAAGAAATGCCAAATAACTGTCTTACTGTGTCCCACCTATGTTGTTCAACGATACATCCGCTTTCAAAAGGGGAACATTTTTTTCGGGTTTTCCATCAGAACAGTGTGACTACCTGCAGATTTGGCCTTTTGAAGGCAGGTAGTCTTAAGCTGGGCGGACACTGTGCGACTTTTTCACTCGTAGCACTCAGCTTCAGCCCAAACGGTACGACTTCGTCGCAGGGCAGATCTCACGAGTCATGTGCTCACACTGCACGTCTGGTAGCAACACGTCGGACCTAAAAATATGCTAAAAATAGCCGTTTTTACTCAATACGTCAGACTTTTTTGTTTTGCCTGTTGTCCTTCGGGAGTGCTGCAGGAGGACACACAGGGATTTATGGGGGTTGGATGACGAAAACGAAATAAAGAAAGTAAATCTGTGTTTTGTGATCAGTTTAATTTGACATGAACACGACAAACACGCTTTCCTGACAATCTTTGTGAGTAAAAAAACGTGTAGAAATAAAAACGAACAACGTGTGTTATTAGGTAAATAGCAGGCGAGCGGTGTTGATGCAGGATTGCGCATGCGCCGTGAGCGGTTCTGGTACTTGTTGGGTCGCAGCTGCTCGCAGCGCCGCTTCAACAGTGCGATACCCTCACGAGGGACGAGCAAAATATCAAACACGCCAGAAGTCCGTGCGAGCTCACGATTGCTGATCGGTAGCTGGTCACGTGGTGTTAATCGCCTCTCGTAACCCCCTGTACACTACACGACGCTCAGCGCAAAACTCGCCCCGATCTCGTGGATTCTCGCACGAGTGGAAAATCGGCTCAAAAAAGTGAAAAAGTCGCACAGCGTACGCCCGACTTAAAATGTTTGATCAGCTGTAAACAGTGGCAGCTGGTGGTTTTGTTTTTGGGTGGGGTGCATGTTTTTCGCCTTATCTTTGTTCTTGTGAAGCGCCTTGTGATTTTTATCTTGAGAGGTGCTATATAAAAGTTTGCCTTTTCTTCTTTTTGCAAGTCGGTTTTTCAGATGCACTAACCATACATCACCACTAGGGGGCACCAAATTACCAATTCTAATGCTTCACATACACAGAACCTGATGGACTGGTACCAGGTCCACGAGCACCTACAGCGACAAAGTTGTTCCAAAAACAAGCTTAATATTCAGCGATATATGCAAACTGCACACACACACACACACTTAACAGGAGGTGGCTCGTTCAATCTCACCTATGCTGGTTTATGATCAAAATAATCTGTGTGACAGGAAAAAAATTCACTTGGTTCATGTAATCCTATGTCCCAATGTCACACTGAGCTGATTCCCGACTGTTTTATGGCTGTTTTTACCTGCTGGAGAGTGTTTGCAAGTCTCCAACGTCACATTCTATCATTTTCCGGTTCTGCATAGTAAAAAAAACTTCTCGAGGTGTACTCAGCTGCTCTAAAACAAACGAACGGTGAGCTAAAAAAAAAAAGGAACGGAGAACTTCCGGCTCCGAGTGAACATTGTGAACTGAGTTGAGACTCCACTCGGTTCTGGCCTCAAACCTCTGCGCCCAAAGGCGCTCCTCTTCTTTTTACTGCGGGGGATCCAGTGCGCATCAAAGCGTGGGTCTGTGGTAAAGATTGCTGGGCCCAAAAAGCACCGGAAATACGTCACAAGATGATTCGGTCATGGTAAAAGTGGGAGAGAACCTTTTTAAACTACATTTAAGAAGAAGAAGAAAGCATCATTTCTATAGCGCCTCTCAAGATAAAAATCATGAGGTGCTTCACAAAAACAAAAAATGTAAAAATACAAAAAAGAATTTAGAAAATGGTTAAAAATATATTAAAATGAGCAAAAATAGACAATTGTGATAAAAAATGTAAAGAAAGAGAGAGAGTGAACAGGAAAGAGGGGAATCAGTGGATCCTGAGGAAGGTGGAATAGGTGGGGAGAGCAGAATAAAGAGAGAGAGGTGAAGAAGGTCATACAAAAGCCAGCTTGAACAAGTGAGTCTTCAGCTGCTTTTTAAAGGAGACCACTGAGTCCACTGATCTCAGGCTCAGGGGGAGAGAGGTCCAGAGTCTGGGGGCCACAGCAGCAAATGATCTGTCACCTTTGACCTTTAGCCTGGTGCTGCACAACCAGTAGGCTTTGATCACTGGACCTCAGGGACCTGCTGGGGGTGTAGGGACTAAGAAGATCACCAATGTAAGATGGTGCTTGTCCATGTAAGGCCCTATAGACCAGAACCAGGATCTTGAAATGAACCCTGAAGTTGACTGGCAGCCAGTGAAGCTGGAGGAGAAGCGGGGTGATGTGGGTGTGTTTGGAGGACTTGGTCAGAAGCCGAGCACAGGCGTTCTGAACCACCTGTAGACGGTTCAGGGAGGTTCTGCTCAGACACGTGAAAAGAGAGTTACAGTAGTCTAAGCGTGAGGAGATGAAGGTGTGGAGGACTGTCTCAAGTTCAGAGCGGGACAGAATGGGACTCAGCTTAGCAACGTTCCTGAGATGGAAGAAGGAAGAGCCAACAAGAGAACTGACATGAGAATCCAGGGTGAGAGCTGGGTCAAAGGTCACGCCAAGATTCCTGACAGAAGGTTTGGCGTGAGAAGCAAGCTGACCAAGAGAGTCTCTGACTTTGGGAACCAGCTTGTCTGGGGCACAGATGAGGATCTCTGTCTTATCTTTATTCAGCTTCATTTAAATGCAGATTATACACAGCACGTGTAATCTGTAAGACGTATAGATCATTTAACCGCCTCTAGCTGTAAAACTGCTTGTTTCAGCTTAAATGTTGTTTTCAATTACTGGTAATTGCTGCTCAGAATTTATTTTTCTCTCCGATTTCTACTTGTTGCACGCTGAAGCTCTACTTAGAATGTTGCTAAGATCCGACCGTTCAGAAATAGATTTTTGGCTTTTGTTTAAGTGGTCCTAATCTGTTGATCGGGACTGTATTTCTGCAATAAATAAGTAAATAAATAAATAAATAGATAAATAAATAAGTAAATAAATAAATAAATAAATAATTGAACCAAGAGAAATTTTTCTTAGTTTGGAACTGAAATAAAAACAAACCTGATGGTTCGCATGTGGAGGAAGAACCAGTTCAACACTCTCCACCCGGGTCTTCTCTGCTGTCACCGCGTTGCACACCTCAGAGCTGTCAGCTGACACACACACACACACACACAGAAGTTTAATATGTTGCAAAACTAAAGAACAAACCTCCACTGACGACTAGCTATACATGTTGGACGTAGGACATGTCCTCCGAAGGCCGCTGCCCCTGAATTTGGACACTTCTTATGCATTCTGCAGCTTTTCTGATCCGTATCAACACTCGGCTCTGTCCTGGAAAGCCAAGGTGTGACTGCGTGCATCAGACATACCCTGCTGGATGAATCCATGTGAGAGTAAATCTCTGATTATGTCATCGTGCAGCATCCGGACCCTCCTCCTCTCAGCCGCAACGCTGTATTCAACCTGCTCCTTCTGAGTGAGCGCTACAGTGGGCCTCAGCAGCACCTGTGAAGTAAATCCAGCAAATGTAAAGTCTGACCCTCACCAGAGCGTGGGCGGTTTTAAAGTGAACAATAAACCCAAACTGCAGACACTGGCGGACGCTTCTGACTGGTTTGATTTTTACGTGCAGGTACATCCTGAGTGCATCACAGGACTTGGATGATGTTCCAACCAGCCAACAAGGCTCGTCTTACCTTCTGTCCAGTATTTGTTCGCTGTGTAACGAAGGTGGCGTAGGCGTGGCAAACCTTCCAGTGACGATCACAGAACAGGTCTTCACAGCTGACCTGTATGCCCACCTGGGTCAGCAGGAGAACAATCTGACTTGTACCTTCTTTATCCTACAGGTGACTCCTCCTCACACAGCCCATTTTACACTATTGAACATAGCTTTGTTTCTATTCTGGCAGCAGATCTCCTGTTTTATGTCCAACAGCTGGAAAAACATCCCTCATGTTAGGGCTGCACAATATATCGAAAAACTATCGTCATCGGGATAACAGGACGTGCGATAAGCCCATCGCAAAGCACGTCAAAAACGGCGATAAATGTTTGGTTCAAACATTTCCATCCGTGTCATACATCAACTTTTTGTAAACCAGCTCTGTTTTTTACGCGGAAGGATTATTTGACCAATCAAATGTAGTCCTTCTGATATGCGGCCAATCAGATGGGTCCGTTCACGTAATACGCCCGCCCCCCCGAACTGAGTTAGCGGCGCCGTTCCCTTGTTCGCCATGCTGGCTCAGAGCAACGAACGCACTTTGCGCTGAGGTTTCTACAATCAGCGCTGCTTTCAAATGTGAACGTGAGTCCGCTCGGTGTCGTTAAGCAGCTGATAATAACCGGGCTGACTCCGACACGTGCCGGTGAACCAACCCACCTACATTGGGGCAAAAAAGTATTTAGTCGGCCACCGATTGTGCAAGTCCTCCCACTTAAAATGATGACAGAGGTCAGTAATTTACATCATAGTTACACTTCAACTGTAAGAGACAGAATGTGAAAAAAAAATCCATGAATTCACATGACAGGATTTTTAAAGAATTTATTTGTAAATCAGGGTGGAAAATAAGTATTTGGTCACTTCAAACAAGGAAAATCTCTGGCTCTCACAGACCTGTAACGTCTTCTTTAAGAAGCTTTTCTGTCCTCCACTCGTTACCTGTATTAATGGCACCTGTTTGAACTCATTGTCTGTATAAAAGACACCTGTCCACAGCCTCTAACAGTCAGACTCCAAACTCCACTATGGCCAAGACCAAAGAGCTTTCGAAGGACACCAGGTAAAGAATTGTAGACCTGCACCAGACTGGGAAGAGTGAATCTACAATAGGCAAGCAGCTTGGTGTGAAAACATCAACTGTGGGAGCAATTATCAGAAAATGGAAGACATACAAGACCACTGATAATCTCCCTCGATCTGGGGCTCCACGCAAGATCTCATCCCGTGGGGTCAAAATGATCATGAGAACGGTGAGCAAGAATCCCAGAACCACACGGCGGGACCTGGTGAATGACCTGCAGAGAGCTGGGACCACAGTAACAAAGGTCACCATCAGTAACACACTACAACGGCAGGGAATCAAATCCTGCAGTGCCAGACGTGTTCCGCTGCTGAAGCCAGTGCATGTCCAGGCCCGTCTGAAGTTTGCCAGAGAGCACATGGATGATACAGCAGAGGATTGGGAGAATGTCATGTGGTCAGATGAAACCAAAGTAGAACTTTTTGGTATAAACTCAACTCGTCGTGTTTGGAGGAAGAAGAATACTGAGTTGCATCCCAAGAACACCATAACTACAGTGAAGCATGGGGGTGGGAACATCATGCTTTGGGGCTGTTTTTCTGCTAAGGGGACAGGACAACTGATCCGTGTTAAGGACAGAATGAATGGGGCCATGTATCATGAGATTCTGAGCCAAAACCTCCTTCCATCAGTGAGAGCTTTGAAGATGAAACGTGGCTGGGTCTTCCAACACGACAATGATCCCAAACACACCGCCCGGGCAACAAAGGAGTGGCTCCGTAAGAAGCATTTGAAAGTCCTGGAGTGGCCTAGCCAGTCTCCAGACCTCAACCCCATAGAAAATCTGTGGAGGGAGTTGAAAGTCTGTGTTGCTCGGCAACAGCCCCAAAACATCACTGCTCTCGAGAAGATCTGCATGGAGGAATGGGCCAAAATACCAGCTACTGTGTGTGCAAACCTGGTAAAGACGTATAGTAATCGTTTGACCTCTGTTATTGCCAACAAAGGTTATGTTACAAAGTATTGAGTTGAATTTTTGTTATTGACCAAATACTTATTTTCCACCCTGATTTACAAATAAATTCTTTAAAAATCCTGCCATGTGGATTCATGGATTTTTTTTCACATTCTGTCTCTCACAGTTGAAGCGTACCTATGATGAAAATTACTGACCTCTGTCATCATTTTAAGTGGGAGAACTTGCACAATCGGTGGCTGACTAAATACTTTTTTGCCCCACTGTACCTTCATGTCGCTAGTGTTCCACCGGGTGATGTTAGCCCCAGGCTCCGGTTAGCTTCCAGTTAAAAGGCTACAGCACTCTCCTCCCAGTCCCACCCTGCTAAAGAGGGCCTGGAAAAGTTCCCCCACACATCAAAGTGATTTTTCATTTATGAGCTTTTATAACCTTGTTAATCAGGATAGTTAATTTGCTGCTGCACATAAACTGTCAGTCAGAAGCTCTGCTAGCCGGTTATCTTAAGAGGAGCTAGCTCAATTTGTTAGCTTGTTATCAGAATCATAGTTGCAGTTTCATCATCTGAGCTGCTTTTTAAGATGGTAAAAAATGGTAAATGGCCTGTATTTGATATAGCGCCTTCTAGAGTCCTGGAACCCCCCAAGGCACTTTACAACACAATCAGTCATTCACCCATTCACACGCTGGTGGGGATGAGCTACGATGTAGCCACAGCTGCCCTGGGGCGCACTGACAGAGGCGAGGCTGCCGAGCACTGGCGCCACCGGTCCCTCCGACCACCACCAGCAGGCAACGTGGGTTAAGTGTCTTGCCCAAGGACACAACGACAGCGACAGACTGAGCGGGGCTCGAACCTGCAACCTTCCGATTGCGGGGCGAGCACTAAACTCCTGTGCCATCGTCGCCCCATCTAGGTAAACTTGTTCAATTTGGGGTTAAAAACAAACGTTTTCACATATTTTCTATGTAGTTTTTTTTTTTTTTTGCCAGTTCCTCTTCTGAAAGGTAGACAATTGTTTTTCTCTTTCCCTCAGAAAATCTTAATATTCTCCTAGTTTGGCCCAGCACAGTTCACTTCCCAGTTACAGCAACAACCTTATATCATAACCACATAAGTGGAGAAAATGTTCAGTAGCAATGAGAGAATTTGCTGTTGCATTTAAGTGATGCTAACTATAATTTAACATTTAAACTTATTTTCTGATTTTTTTTATTTATTCTAAAAACCCTGGTAAGGGATGTTTTTCTGTATTTGGAGCATCAGAAAAAGTTTTATGGTGGAGGTGATGTTTTAAAGTCACTGAGAAACAGCATGCATGCAGTTTGTTGTTTTGCTGCTAATACAGTAGCAGGTGCAGCTGCTAATACAGTAGCAGGTGCAGCTGCTAATACAGTAGCAGGTGCAGCTGCTAATACAGTAGCAGGTGCAGCTGCTAATACAGTAGCAGGTGCAGCTGCTACTACAGTAGCGGGTGCAGCTGCTAATACAGTAGCGGGTGCAGCTGCTACTACAGTAGCAGGTGCAGCTGCTAATACAGTAGCGGGTGCTGCTGCTACTACAGTAGCAGGTGCAGCTGCTAATACAGTAGCGGGTGCTGCTGCTAATACAGTAGCGGGTGCAGCTGCTAATACAGTAGCGGGTGCAGCTGCTAATGCAGTAGCGGGTGCAGCTGCTAATACAGTAGCGGGTGCAGCTGCTAATGCAGTAGCGGGTGCCGCTGCTAATACAGTAGCGGGTGCAGCTGCTAATACAGTAGCGGGTGCAGCTGCTAATACAGTAGCGGGTGCAGCTGCTAATACAGTAGCGGGTGCAGCTGCTAATACAGTAGCGGGTGCAGCTGCTAATACAGTAGCGGGTGCAGCTGCTAATACAGTAGCAGGTGCAGCTGCTAATACAGTAGCAGGTGCAGCTGCTAATACAGTAGCAGGTGCAGCTGCTAATACAGTAGCAGGTGCAGCTGCTAATACAGTAGCGGGTGCAGCTGCTAATACAGTAGCAGGTGCAGCTGCATATTTTTGCAATAAAAATGTTGTGTTGTAATGGAATTCATGCATTAGTTTTTGTTTGCTTTGAACCCAGAGCAGAGGTCACACGCCAGACGACATCAACACTGCATACTTTAGTATTTGTTCATTTATCACGAGTAATATCGATATCGCAATATTAAGCACTGTTATCGAATATCGCAGGTTTTCCTAATATCGTGCAGCCCTACTTCATGTGAAGCAATTATGTTATTTTTATCCAGATGTTTTCCTCGCTTACAGATATGTGGTCCATGACTTGCTAACTCTCAGCTCACGGCTGATATCTGTGGTCTCCAACAGAAGAGCATCAACAGAAACCACTCACCTCCATGCTGGTGTTAAAGGCTCGGTTGACCTTTGCCCTTATGTTCACCACTTGACCCACCCTGAAGAGAGAGGAGATGGAGTAAACTTTCCAGAACAAACATGGAGCTGCTTCTCTCACCTGATGGTGTGCTCAAAGTGAATGTCGTCCATGGAGGCGGTGACACAGAGACTCCCAGCATGCCTCTCAGCTGCTCAGAATAAATCATCTTTGGTCTTTCATCACAACACAACAATCTCTGAGAGACAAAAGAAAACCTCGCACACACCAGAGAGGCACGCTGTGGAGTCCATCCATTTGAGAAGCTGGCCCACGCTCAGCTCCTGCTGATGGTTGCAGTGGCAGGGCATCACTATCTGACTCATCTTCACCTCCGTAGGGTTAACACCTCCTTCATCCTCCTCCTCCTCTTCTTCCTCCTCCTTTAGGTCACTGGATGCTCTCATACTCATTCTTAAAGCTGGGATGTTTCTGATAACAGAAGGAGAGGATCAGTAAGCTCTTTACAAATCATTTGAACACATCACCGTCTGACGCTCCACCTGGCCTACAGGTGTTTGTTCTCTGGATCTGAGCGGAACCCACTAAAGACATTACATGAATTAACGTTTCTCCTTCGACTCTCCCTTTAACTGCACACGCATATCTAAACGTGTGCAGGTTTCTGAAAAAATAAATGAGTTTATTAGGGATGTAAGAAAATATCGATATGGCAATATATCGTGATAATTTTCCCAGCAATATTATATCGATATTCAAAAGCAGTGTATCGGAAATATCGATATGGCAATATATCGTGGTATTTTTTCCTGCGATTATTGCTTCGATATTCAAAAGCCATGTATCTAATTCCTGAAAGAATTTCCATGCAAACATTTGTGTATTTTCTTTTTGTTTTGCGCAATTCAATCGCCACCCGCTAGTTGGCAGCAGTGTGCAGCGGGTTTTGTTTCCACCACTGAAATGTAAATCCCTCCATCATGGTTCAGATACCTCATGTTAAACATGTTACATATCAGTTTGGACTGTTTATTGAACATTCTTACAATAAATCCAGTAAAAAAAAATTTGCTTGTAACGTCTGACTGAATGTGTCGCAATATATCGTGATATATCGTATCATCTCCCCTGTATCGTGATATGTATTGTATCGCCAGAATTTCAAAAATACACATCCCTAGATTTTATATGTTTTTACTGAATTAATAAATCATTTCCCCCAGCTGCAGGCGTGATGGCTTTATTTGAGGAGCTGTGAGCGTTTCCTGCTGATTAAACTGAGTTCTTGGAACAAGATCAGTAAGCCCTATCAGCTCAGAGTAACAGTGTCTCACCTGAGCAGCCTTGCTCAATGGCATTTGCACTCAATGAGGTGATAAGGAGAGTTGCTGCTGCACACACAAGCAGCTGTGCACGAACATCTGCCCGATGTTTACGCGTGAATAAAGCTGACGTTTGACTCTGCTGCCATTACGTCAGAGTCCAACGCAACAACTTCCTGAGCAATAAAGTTAAACTCTTTATTTTAGAGCGCCGCGTTCAGAAGCCTCACCTTTTCAGGTAAGCGGAAGCAGCAAACTCGGATAACTCGCCGTCATTTGACTCTTTAAGCAGAACGTGATTACCAGGCAGGAACGCACAAGTCAGCATTTTAGTCTCATGTCTACAAGTCTCTCAGCTCTCTCACCTCAGCATTAAATTTCTGTCTCACCTGAGGTTCGGGTTTGGACCGAAACCTGATCCAGAACCTGCTGCTGTTGTTTTAATGCAACAGAGTTAGAAACCTGGCAGCGGGCAGCCACGCCCTCTGCTGCACATCAAACACAAAAACGTTTTTATTGGACTTCAGAAGTCCGATACAACATTTCAAAATAAAAGTCTTTCAAAGTTCTCTCCTATTTTCAATCCATTCATTCGCAAACGTAATCAGTGTGAAAGCAGCTCGGTTAATGTTGCTTTAAAACCATAAAAGAATAAAAAGTATACAAAATATTTCTTTGTGGAAAAACGTAAATACGTTTTATGTTAATGTTTTTAAACCAAACGTATTTAGTAAACAAACATTTCTTATTTGTTTTATATTCATGCAGTATTTTTCAATAAATGTTTTAATGAAAATATTCACTTAATTTATAAACATTGCTGAGAACTAAACATGACCAAATATTAAAAGATATAAACAAAACAAAAAAATTCAAGGAAAACATTCAAATATTATTTTGAAGGCGAAAACAGTCAGCTTCCGGTGTCTCAATCATCATTTCCGTTCGCTTTGTATGACTGTGGAAAGTTTATTTGGGCTTCAGAGGATTTGAGTTAGATCATAGCTCACCTCACTACAACTCCGTGCTTCCTCGTGGAAAACAGGGCAGTTTTATTATATTTCATAGCCACCAGGCTCGGCCCACACGTTTATCCTATGTGCTCTGCTGCAATAAGATAACCTCAATGCTTTAGAGCCATAAGTCCCACAGTGTGATAAATGCAACAAGATTTATAAGTTCACTTCTTACGTTTTTCAGTTTTTAATCGATGAAACAAAAATAAAAAAGGTTTGCAAACAGGACCGAATGCTAAGTTCTTAATTTCTTAAAAAAGTAAAATGCCCAAAACAGCTGTTCTGTTGGTGGCAAGAGGACAGTCTACTCTGCACCATCGACATAAATATACTACAACTTCCAACTACAGGGGGATCACATTCCTGAGCCTTCCCGGTAAGGTCTATTCAGGGGTTCATTCATTTATTTATTTATAAAGCACTTTAAAACACCCCGCACAGGAACAAAGTGCTGTACAGAAAATACATTAAAACAATAGAATAAACAGAAAGCAGCAAAGAGAAATAAATAGAACACATGAGACAAAAAATTAAAACAGCCCAATAATAAGAATAAAAACTAGTTAAAAACAGCATTGAAACACCCAAAAACAGCTAAAATAAGTCAAAACTAAAAATAGCAACCAACATCTCACAGGGTGACAAAAGCAAGGGTAAAGAGGTGGGTTTTCAAGAGGGACTTAAAAACAGGTAAGGAACTGGCCTGTCTCATCTCTAAAGGAAGCTCGTTCCACAGTTTAGGAGCTGCTACAGCAAAGGCGCGATCTCCTCTAAGGTTACGCCTAGTCCTGGGTACATTCAGGAGCAGCTGATCAGCTGACCTGAGAGGGCGGGAGGGTGTGTAAGGCTGTAACAGGACAGAGAGATAAGAAGGTGATAAGAAGGTTCTGGAGAGGAGGGTCCGTTGGATTGTTGAACCTCAGATTCAGGAGGAGTAATGTGGTCTTCGTCCTGGCCGTGGAACACTGGACCAGCTCTATACCCTTATGGGGATCCTGGGGGGTGCGTGGGAATTTGCCCAACCAGTCTTCATGTGTTTTGTGGATTTGGAGAAGGCGTTTGACTGCGTCCCTCGGGGGGCCATGGTCTTGATTCTTAAAAGGGTAGAATGCCTTCTCCGGGTCAGGGATGAGGTCCTGCCCCAAGTGGAGGAGTTTTAAGTATCTCGGGGTCTTGTTCAGGAGTGAGGGAAAACTGGAGCGTGAGGTTGATAGTTGGATTGGTGCTGCATCTGCAGTGATGCAGGCATTGTACTGGTCTGTCATGGTGAAGAGAGAGCTGAGTCAGAAGGCGAAGCTCAAGATTTTCCGGTCGATCTACGTTCCTACCCTCATCTATGGTCATGAGCTTTGGGTAGTGACTGAAAGAACGAGATCGCAGATACAAGCGGCCGAAATGAGTTTTCTCCGAAGAGTGGCTGGGCTCTCCCTTAGAGATAGGGTGACAAGCTCGGTCATTTGGGAGGGGCTCGGAGTAGACCCGCTGCTCCTCCACATCGAGAGGAGCCAGTTGAGGTGGCTCGGGCATCTGGTCAGGATGCCTCCCTGGTGAGGTTTTCCGGGCACGTCCAACCGGGAGGAGACCTAAAGGTAGACCTGGCCAGGGAACGCCTTAGGATTCTCCCGGAGGAGCTGGCCCAAGTGGCTGGGGAGAGGGAAGCCTGGGCCTCTCGCCTTAGGCTACTGCCCCCGTGACCTGACTCCGAATAAGCGGATGAAAATGGATGGAAGGATGGAGATATACATATATATTTATATGTATATATAAATATATATATTTATATGTATATATAAATATATATATATATATATATATATATATATATATATATATATATATATATATATACATGTATATATATATACATATATATACATGTATACAGGTGCTGGCCAGTAAATTAGAATATCATCAAAAGGTTGAAAATATTTCAGTAATTCCATTCAAAACGTGAAACTTGTACATTATATTCATGCAATGCACACAGACCAATGTATTTCCGATGTTTATTACGTTTAATTTTGATATTTATAGGTGACAACCAATGAAAACATCAAATCTGGTATCTCAGAAAATTAGAATATTCTAAAGGCCAATGAAAAAATGTTTGTTTCTCTAATGTTGGCCAACTGAAAAGAATGAACATGAAAAGAATGTGCATGTATAGCACTCAATACTTAGTCGGGGCTCCTTTTGCCTCAATAACTGCAGTAATGCGGCGTGGCATGGACTCGATCAGTCTGTGGCACTGCTCAGGTGTTATGAGAGCCCAGGTTGCTCTGATAGTCGTCTTCAGCTCCTCTGCATTGTTGGGTCTAGCGTATTGCATCCTCCGCTTCACAATACCCCATAGATTTTCTATGGGGTTAAGGTCAGGCGAGTTTGCTGGCCAATCAAGGACAGGGATACCATGGTCCTTGAACCAGGTGCTGGTGGTTTTGGCACTGTGTGCAGGTGCCAAGTCCTGTTGAAAGGTGAAGTCTGCATCCCCATAAAGTTGGTCAGCAGCAGGAAGCATGAAGTGCTCTAAAACTTCCTGGTAGACGGCTGCATTGACCCTGGACCTCAGGAAACAGAGTGGGCCAACACCGGCAGATGACATGGCACCCCACACCATCACTGAC